AATAGTTACTAGGCGACAACCGACAACGACACCACAGAATAACAAAGTGTTACCAATGGATTTGAAACCATCGACACCTATTTAATATATTATAGTACTTACATGATTATAAGGTTAATAAACTGTAAAACCATAGAACATATTATGTAAAAATAATAAGATTTGTGGGTAATCGTAACAGCGTTACAACCTATAAAAGGTACTGCTGTGTCTTAGTGGGGGTTCAGTTGTGAGTTTCCTGCCTACAAGTTAGTTGCTCTGCTAGAATCTGTGATCATTTACATTAAGTAGAGAATAATATATAATTACTGTGATTCGTTTATCAAGTGAATAAAAAGTGCCACTAATTAAAACTTCAGAAGTGGGATAGTACTTACTATGTCCGGACAGTATATCTGAGGGATAGGAGAGCATAAGCGCAGATACGAAGAGACAACAAGTTCAGAAGAAGATAAAGAAATCTTTTTTCTGAAAAATTTCTATGCTTGCAAAAAAGCATCGTGTGTCTCCGATAGATGCGGAAATCATACTAAAACTACTATGCCCAGACGATCAATCCAGTAACGTTACTGGATGGCTTCATAAAATTGATTAGTGTAATAACAAAGATCGTCAATTTATAATGCAATTACGCCCTGTAGGATCTGCTTGGGAGTGGCAAAATGACCTTGACGATTATGCCCTTACTTGGGACGGGTGAAAGGAAGCACTTCAAACTGCTTTTCCTCGATATAGCGACTACGTAGACAGGCTAGAAAAATGCTGGCAAGATCAAAAAGTGACGATGAAACGATGACTAAAAATTATCATGAAAAGTTGTCACTCCTCAAAAAATGCAACATTAATGGTGAACATACAATCTCCTGTATTATTCGACGTTTATTACCACCTGAATTGAGAGCTAATGCTAAAGCCTACAAGTATGAGACGCCCGAACAACTATATTTCGGTTTAACTGTCATCACTAGAGAACGTTAAGCGCAGGGATACGTCCACGTTTCCACCGAACAAATCTTACTGGAGAAAAAATACACAAATTACTTCAGGTCACCGTCAGCTCGTTCCGAAGATCTACTACGTGTGTCGATGATATATATATATATATATATATATATATATATATATATATATATATATATATATACTGGAAGTAAGCTTAGCATATTTACTATTACACAAGCCAGAAAAATGAAAGTTAAAAAGGTACTTGCCAAATTATTGTAAATGTTGATGATTTATTTTTGGTAGAAAGTGTAGAGTTAACCAATTGTAACCTTCCGGGCATAGATTTAATAATTGGACAATCAATGATAAATCAAGAAAATGTGAGCTTAGTTACGACGTCAAATAGCGTAAAATTTGTTCCATCCTCTACATTGGGGAATATCTTCACAAATAAAAGTTTTAACATAATTGAATATGGTTCGAAATTTCCAGTCTTTACATAATTAGAGGTTACTATAGTACCTAGCCAAACTATACATTAGCGTAAGTGTCGATTGTAACACTGCCAAAAAGTTTTCAGTTAGGTGGGTTATCGTATTGTATACCAGAAGCGATCATTATTCGAGTATGTCAAATTTAAAGGTACTTAACGTTGGAAATGAAACTATATCATGGCCTGCTAATAATCTTATAGTTAGAGCGGAGATTTCAAAACAAAAAAGAAGTAATTTTGTAACAGATACTCTTATTGTAGACCAAGTCCATGTCAAGTTTAAGCATATTGTTGCCTTGTTTTTATTTTTTCTATTATTCTATTCATTTCCTTATTTTAGTTAAAATTGAGGGACAACAAAGTGAACAAGTCCATAATAGTTAAAAGTGAGGGACAGCTAAGTGAACAAGTCTATATTAGTTAAAATTGAGGGACAGCTAAGGGAACAAGTCCATAATAGTTAAAAGTGAGGGACAGCTAAGTGAACAAGTCCATTGTAGTCAAAAGTGAGTGACAGCTAAGTGAATAAGTCCACAATAGTTAAAATTGAGGGACAGCTATGTGAACAAGTCCATAGTAGTTAAATTGAGGGACGGCTGAGTGAACAAGTCCATAGTAGTTAAAATTGAGAGACGGCTGAGTGAACAAGTCCATAGTAGTTAGAATTGAGAGACAGCTAAGTGAACAAGTACATATTAGTTAAAAGTGAGGGACACCTAAGTGAACAAGTCCATTGTAGTCAAAAGTGAGTGACAGCTAAGTGAATAAGTCCATAATAGTTAAAATTGAGGGACAGCTATGTGAACAAGTCCATAGTAGTTAAATTGAGGGATGGCTGAGTGAACAAGTCCATACTAGTTAAAATTGAGAGACGGCTGAGTGAACAAGTCCATAGTAGTTAGAATTGAGAGACAGCTCAGTGAACAAGTCCATAGTAGTTAAAAGTGAGAGACAGCTAAGTGAACAAGTCCATTGTAGTTAAAAGTGAGTGACAGCTAAGTGAATAAGTCCATAATAGTTAAAATTGAGGGACAGCTATGTGAACAAGTCCATAGTAGTTAGAATTGAGGGACGGCTCAGTGAACAAGTCCATAGTAGTTAGAATTGAGAGACAGCTAAGTGAACAAGTCCATATTAGTTAAAAGTGAGGGACACCTAAGTGAACAAGTCCATAACAATTAAAAGAAGGGACAGCTAGGTGACCAAGTCTAGACAGCTAATTGAATTCATCCATATTTGTTAAAACACTGGGATGGCTAAACGAAGAAACCCAAAATTGTCAATGTACCAGAACTGTTAGGTAAAAAACTGGGTACATAAATAGTTTCAACCTTTATTCATGGCCTGTCATCAAACATAATAAATCTTGTCTACATGGTTTCTTTTCCAAAATCGTAAAACCATAGAACAACATATTATGTAAAAATAATAAGATTTGTGGGTAATCGTAACAGCGTTATAAGCTATAAAAAGTACTGCTGTGTCTAAGTGGGGGTTCAGTTGTGAGTTTCCTGCCTACAAGTTAGTTGCTCTGCTAGAATTTGTGATCATTTACAGTAGAGAATAATATACTTACTGTGATTCGTTGATCAAGTTGATCAACTGCCAGCTCATGAGGTACCTTGCGGATCACCAGCTGATTAGTGACCGCCAATACGGTTTTCGCCGTGGTAGGTCAGCTGGTGATCTTCTGGTCTACCTAACTCACATATGGGCGGAGGCAGTAGAGTCCAAGGGGGGAGGCATTGGCCGTTAGTTTGGACATTGCGAAGGCCTTCGATCGGGTTTGGCACAAAGCGCTTCTTTCGAAGCTCCCTTCCTATGGGCTTCACGAGAAATTGTGCGATTGGATCACCAGTTTTCTTGCAGATGGGAGCATCAAGGTCGTTGTAGACGGTGCAAGCTCCGATTGCAAGCTTATTAATGCTGGTGTTCCACAGGGCTGCGTGCTATCGCCAACGCTGTTTCTTCTGCATATCAATGATATGTTGCAAACCCGTAGCATTCATTGCTATGCAGATGACATCACTGGTGATGCTCTTTACACCGGCCGAGCCAATATTTCTCGGGAAAACGTCTCTGAGTGCCGGGACAAACTTGTGTCTGAAGTCGAGTCTCTGCTGGACAGAGTCTCGGATTGGGGGCGACTAAATCTAGTCCAGTTTAACCCCCAGAAGACACAAGTTTGCGCGTTAACCGCTAAAAAGAACCCCTTTGTCGTATCCCCTCAGTTTCAAGGCACTCCCCTTGTTGCCTCAGCCAGTATCGGAATCCTCGGCGTCGACATATCGAGTGACATGCAGTTTCGTGGTCACTTGGAAGGGAAGGCCAAATTGGCCTCTAAAAAGCTTGGCGTGCTCAGCAGAGCGGGACAGTATTTCATGCCGGCACACCGCCTGCAACTTTACAAGGCGCAGGTTCGGCCGCTCATGGAATACTGTTCCCATCTCTGGGCTGGGTCTCCCCAGTACCAGCTCCTTCCACTTGACCGCATCCAGCGCAGAGCGGCTCGAATCGTCGACGACCGAGTGCTTTCCGATCGGCTCGATTCACTGGCGCTGCGAAGAGATGTTGCATCTCTTTGCGTATTTTATCGCATCTATCACGGGGAGTGTTCACAGGAATTGTTCGGATTAATCCCAGCCGCCAAATTTCGTGAACGCACTACACGGCAAACGTCCCGATACCATCCACACCATCTGGATGCTTGGCGGTCCACCACTGTACGTTTCAAAAGGAGTTTTCTTCCGCGTACAACCTCTCTGTCGAATAATTTACCACCGGTGATTTTTCCGGACCGATACGACCTGGGGACCTTCAAGAAAAGAGCTTACTCCTTTCTAAAGGGCCGGCAACGCACCTGCAATTCCCCTGGTGTTGCGGTTGATCATGGGCGGCGGTAGTCACTTAACATCAGGTGAGCCACATGCTCGTTTGTCCCCTCTTCTATAAAAAAAAAAAAAAAAAAAAAAAAAAGTGAATAAAAAGTGCTACTGTGTAATCTATTTTACTTCATATCTACTAATTAAAAAGAGCGAAAGCAGTGACAACTGTGACATTACAGTTAAGTTTGACACACCATAATGATATTTTTGTAAGTGACCAATGCGTTTAAGAGTTCTGAATTATTCAAAATTTTAAACCTTTAATAGGAGATGCAAGATTTAGTTGATACTGATTTCGCGGGTTCGCATTGTTCACAAGTTTCTATTAATCGATTATGGATTCATTGACTTCGATGTTTGACCTGTGGCAACATCGATGTTTAAATTTTTAATATCGATGATCATCGAACATCCCTAAACTATTTGTCAATTTCAATTGCCAAGTGTCAATGTCAAGTCTCAAGTGTCAATCTGCTATGCTTTTACTTTTATTTTGTGAATTTGTCATTGTGTGTTTATTGTGTAAGTGCAATTTGCATCATTGCATAAACTTTCCTAATGATACGGAAAATAGTTCAACAATGTCTAATTGTATTGTTTTGGTTGTAACATTGCAGTAGTTTCAACATGAGATATATCTGTTCAGTCAGAAAAAACTTGAATTTTAATAAACCATTATGGCTGTAAATATACCATTTCTCGGTTCAATTTGCGAAGGATGTCTCAGTATTGATAGACGTTTAACTGCAATCGTTGAAGAAAATAAGCTAAAAATTTTTGGTGAATTACTGGGTAATTTGGTAAGTGGGATAAAATATTAGCTATAAGCGTAACCATGATGTCTTGTAGTTAAATCAATCAAGTGGCAACCTCTGAATATTATAATAATAACTTAAATTTAAAATATCTCCGAAACAGAAAGCTGATAATCTCCATACGGATACCAACATACATTTTTCATCGAGGGTTAATAAGAGCTTGTCATTTAACAGTTCACAAGTTAGGGCGAAAAACTCAGTGGCCTACTAAGCAACAAACCAAAAATGTTTGTAGTAGAGCCATATTGTAGGCATATTATGGTAACAGCACAATGGGTCGGCTCGATCCTTAATTGTAGAATTTTTGCAGCTTTGTTGGGTTGTTACTAGAATTGCACTATCCCACATACCACATGGGTGTAGTAAAGCCGATAGAGGAATGGGCAGCAGCATCTACTTGATAACATAATAATAATCATTTTTACACAAGTTTTTTTTCATAAAATCATTGATTACCTGGCCCCTGAACTAGTACAACTGTGTTTTAGAATCAGTTTCTCGCCTTAAAGTCAGCCTAGTCAAAAGGTCAATTTCACTAGAACAATTTAAAGTTATTAGTTAGTTAAACAGCTTCAGAAATATAAGTTAGAGATTTTAAGTGCATGTGTGTGTGCGTGTGCGTGTGCGTGCGCGTGCGTGTGCGTGTGTGCGTGTGCGTATGTGTGCGTGTGTGTGCATGTGTGCAGTTTATAAGAACCCTGCCCCTTAACTAGTTTTGCTGCCAAGTAGCAGTGTTTGTATGCTATGTTCCGCTCTGAAGTGTATAGACTATAGAGAGATATATAAACGTATTACAGGCTGTCTCAGTCCATAGATAATGTAATACAATATAAATATAATGTAAGGGCATAGATGAGCCACGCTGACAAATTATTATTAGGTTATGAAACGAGGGAAGTTTCTTCTGTGCTGTCATAGATTGCATTTGGATTATAAATTACTGAAAAATACACTAGAGGACGCTATCAACTATGTTCAGTATTATTTCATACATATTCATAAATTTAAAAAGGATATGTTTTTTAATTGGAAATGTACTAACTTGTATGATATAAATTTTCATTTTCATACACCTTAAATAAATAACCATGGCTTGTATTGCTACAATTATTCTTTTAGAGCTATTAAATATATACACCGCAGTGTTACAAAACGTGAGAAATTACAGAAGCGAAAAAAAAAAAAATTTTTTTAAAAAAAAAAACTACTGAAACTTGAGATGATTCATCAGAATGATCGATCTGAATGTCCTGGTTTGTAAGACGAATCAATACTTGAATGTTCGGGTCCCTAGAAGTGAATGAATGACATGTCTATTTGTCCTTTTAGTTTTAAAAAGAAAATAAGAACCTTGTAAAATCCTAAAGCAATGATATAAGGAACCGCTATGGAACTTGACACCCATTCACACATCAACCCCTTTATCAGCAAAGCCAACAACCCAGAATGTAGTTTGTACCAACTTCACCCCTTTTTCACATTTATGATTAAGATGGGATAACAGCATAAGGAGCAGCATCTTTCTGATATCGGCTCAGTGACAATAAAAATCTGCGGTTGCCAACCCACGTGCCAAACATAGCAACTATGGTTTTTATGTGGTAGAGCCATGCTGCAGTTATATTAGTAGTATAGTTGTAGCACGAATAGGTCGGCTCGACCGGGGAAGGACCAAACATTCACAGAATACCAGCATAAAATAGCAACTTAATGCTACTGTATTTCGTATCACCACACTCACCAGTGTAGAGATCCGGTGACCCGTTTTACTGGAATCGACGCATTACATCTTAGTCCTCAGGGGTGACAACAGATGCACAATTGCACAATGCAGATGGCATTTGATTCTTAATTGAGGATAAATGTAGATCTATGGGTCACAGCAAGGAAATACCTTTTTTATCGGTAATGGTAGGCATTCTATGGGCCACAGCATCCACTTACCATGGTGTGCACTGTGGGCTCGTTTGTCACACTTATTCTATTAAAAAAAAAAAAACAGATACCATATTATAGATATGGAGAGGTTTGATAAATTAAAAAGATGTTGGTTTAAAAAGTTTTCCTTTTCGATTCCAGGACTACATAAGTCAACCATTATTGTTGTGTTGGGAGTGCACAGCCTTAATTAAAAAAATATCAAGATTTATCTGCCAAGTAAAAACTGCTCATGACTGTCTAGTTAAATATATGGTAAGTAGAATTAATAACGAATTTTAATTTTATTGTATTACCTTAAAGTGCTGGCATTTGGTAATAGGATAGTTGTAAACCTTACTTTAAAAATATGATATTCTTCCATTACCTTGTTTATATATCAGAGCCTGTCTTTTTGTTAAATCATTCCCTAAGTATTTTAAAACCCGCAAGATACTACAACAAGGCGTTTTAAGAAGTAAATATGAAAGCCTAATATATCTATCAACCTCCCTGTAATAAAGATATGTTTATAAGAAATGTATATAAAATGAGCATATTATTATATAACACATTACATAAGAATTAAAAAAAATATGTAGAAGCTCTTTCCAAAATAATTTTACGAAATGGTTACTGGTAAATTGTTTCTATAGCCTAAAAGAATATTTAGAATGGAAAAATTAGTTCAATGATTTATGTGCTCCACTTATAGATAGTTTTTGTTTTATGTACCTAAATATTTGCACATCTGTGAGCAGACTAACCACATGTACATTATATATATATTTGTTTATTTATTTACATCCAATTTATATCTAACATTACAGGTTTCTACCTAATGCGATAGATAAAGCACTATTTACAATCCTATATTGCCTATATTACTATATTAACTCATAGCTTATTATCTATAAAGCAAATTTTGTGGATTCGTTCAGAGTACAAAATAATAAATCTGTTTCTCTGTCGATCAGGTTTAATATTCGAAATGCTCGTGTCAGGGGTACCTCTCGCAGTAATTTAGTGCGACATCTAGGGACGGCCAGGAGGTCTGGCGTCTGACTGATGCCGCCGCCATATATACATAGCCAGAACACAAATATTCTTCAACATATTCTCATTACTAATCCTACCCCTAAGGATATTAAACTGAAGACCCTGTCAACTGTGTTTTATGCAAATAAAGAATTTGTATTTGTATAAAAAAATGCACTATCCCATACCATCCTGTAGATGTCGTAAAATGCTACAGAAAGATATGAAATAGGAAATGTGCTGTAGCATTTTCCTCCATCATGCAGCATGTTCTCGTCTGAAGGGTATAGAGAGTCGAGAGATTCAATACTATTCCTCAGAGGTGACAACACTTCTGTGGCCTTCTTTGGTTGGGTTGTTCTTAGCAGGTGTCCTCACCATCTGGTGGACTGTTAGTTTGTTTATCGGTTCAATTCTATGTAAAAGAAATGTCATAATTTCTTTCTTATTGAAGTAAAACTTATTTACGCACGCTTGACGTGAAGTGATGTAAGCAAGAGAGAGCAGTGTGCCCGCACATTTTCTTTCTCATTTTATCTCATAGCCAATTATTTTTCGTAATTTTATTTGGTTTTGAAAAATTTTATGAATTTATATTTTGTTCAATACATTAAAATATTTTACTGAATAAAATTGTAAATTCATTTCAAAGTTCATGTTTTGTGAATTTTCGGGTGGATAATAACAAATTGTGGAAGGAACCCGATAATATATTTAATATTTGTAGAAAATTAATATATTATGTATATGTATATACATACATATATATATATATATATATATATATACATGATTAAAACTACTTTTACGGATTTTATCGCGTTTATTTTTCAACGTAACTAACAAAGATTTGTAACAAAGATTTGCCCACCGTAGCTAACTTCACAGTTAGCGAAAAGGGTACCGCTGGCCCGCCGGCCACAGTCGAGCGTGTGCCTGCTGTACTACCATATGTCAGAGGTGTCACAGACAAGATTGGCTATATCTTGAAGCGAGCTTCTATTAGAACATTCTACAAGCCGCCGAAGAAGATTAGTCAGTTCCTACCATCCGTCAAGTGTCATATTCCTCTATAAGATGCAGGAGTGTACAAGCTTGATTGAATGAATGTGGTCTCTCTTATATAGGACAAACCAAAAGATCAATTAGGACCCGCGTAAAAGAACATATAGCTGATGTGAAGCATCAACGTTCGGGAAGTCTGCAGTTTGTGATCATATCCTAGACGGCCCCAACCATTACATCAGATTTGATAGACCACAAATCCTCGCGAAAGAACACCGATTCCTACCAAGGATGATACGTGAGGCTATTGAAATTAAAAAAATCCTAATTTCAATAGAGAAGGAGGCTGGGTACTACCACCTGCTTGGGATTCTATAATCAATAAAATTAAAACTAAACCCAAGCATACCACTGCAAGACCTCAGGACATAGTCAGTTCATTTTGCATAGATCGGACCATAAACAATAATTAAAAAAGCTGAAGGTACTCCGGGTTTAACAATGACATCGGGACGTCAGTCATCTCAGTCCCACGTGACCATGGGTGCTGGAAAGCGCCCGAAACGTCGGGAATTAAAAATAAAAAGTAAAAATAAACGCGATAAAATCCGTAAAAGTAGTTTTAATCATGTGCAATGTTCGCGTAAATATAAGAAATCATTATATATATATTCTAGCTTGCCAGGCAGACGTTGTTCTGCCCTTTTTGACGACCCTTTGTGATGTCAAATTGTGCAAATTTGATTAAAATCGGTTTAGGAGTACATTGCGGATGTCATTACAAGTAGTTATGCATTTTTAACTATGTATTAGTGGTGATGGAAAATCCATTATGGGATACTTTTAAAGGGATTAATGAGGAGAAGAAAGTTGAAAATACGATGTTTACAGGTACATCAATCTACAAACCTATCGCCACTCTCAACTCTATCAAAGAGAAATGCAGACACAAACATCCAAGAATTCAAATATGATGAAACCCTCATATCACAAAATTTACATGTTCCTGATAGGATCCTGCCGTTAACATTTATAAAGATAGAGGATCAAGATCATGAGTCTATTGATGATTTTTATATTGATGATGTGTATGATGGAAATGAGGAGGAAGAGGAAAGGGATAATGAAGATCTTAAGGTATGTACTTACTACACAATTAAATTACAAAGAGACTACTCTAGCCTATTGACCATATCCGTAAAAATATCTGATAATGGCATGATCTAAAAAGTCCTCTTTGAAAAATACTGTTCTCTAGACCGAATTTAATTGAAAAAAACGGAGATTAGCTATCTACGCAGGACAGGAGATTATAGTGCTGAGTGTATAGTGCAAGCACAGGTGTACTTTTTTCCCTTACTTTCACAGTCCAATGGGACAGGAAAGCGACACGACCGGAGAGTGATCAGAGCAGGACCAGGTGTGTTTTGTACATGGTAGAGCCACGCTGCAGCTATATTATGGTTGTAGCGTGAATATATCGGCTCAACCTGTGACGCTCTCACAGAATACCAGCGTAAAATAGCAGCTTAATGCTGCTGTGTTTCGTATGGTTAGTGTAGAGAACCGGAGACCCATTTTACTGGAAACGAGGCATTCCATCTTAGTCCTCAGGGGTGACAATGCATCTGCATTTTGATTCTTAATAGAGGTTAAATGTTGAAGTCTATAGACCACAGCATCCACTTACGCACTTGTGTGCTTGTTTGCCACCCTTATCCTATAAAAAAAAACAACCGCTCTACGTGCTTTCCGAGACAGGATGTTGTAACACCACTAACTAACTTACTCAAGGCAGTAGTACTGACAATTTCTTCAGAAATACCAAATAACTGATTTTGAATTAAATGGGCATCGTAAGAAGCGACAGAGGGAAACTAAAGCAGTAGATGCAGCAGCAGCGTCTTTGTGATATCAACTCAAAATTATAAAAACTGAAGTTGCCAAGCTACCTACCAAGCGTGGCAACTGTGGCAAAATCGCTCTATGAGGCATTTCTTTAAATAGAATAAAAGTGACAATGAGCACACAGGCCGCCTGATGGTAAGTGGATGCTGTGGCCCATAGACATCTACATCTATCCTCGGTACCTGTAAGCTCTGACAGCGCGCGACATGTTATACTCCCGTGCGCTCGGGACCGTAATGGCGGGAAAATTTGAAAATTAGCAAATTTTTTGCTATATTGCAAATTTTGCTATATTTTCACTTTGAGACAATATTTATGGATAAAACTTACAGGAATTCTTGTTGAATGTATAAACTATCGAATAAAATTATTTTTGGTTGCTAGAAAATGTAATAAAATACGTAAATTACCCTGTATAGCTGTATAGTGGTATATACTTCAATTTTAGTGACAAAATTACTACTAATTTGAATTCTACACTTTTGTTTTTAGAGAAATTTATATGAAAATGTTTGGAAATATGTATATTTTTATGTTTTATGTGTTTCCATTCGTTACTCATACCAAAATATTAAAATATAAAGAAATTAAAAAAAATAAAATAATAATATTTTATCTGTGTGACATTTAGAACAATATTTCTAAAATAGTTTTGTGTGAATTTGAAATAAATACAACGTCAAGTTATTTGAAATATGTAAGAAAACTATTTTTACTTACATTTTACACTAAAAATAAATGAGAATTTGAAAAATACCACATTTATGACCCAGCCGCCATAATGGGCCTTCCAGATTTTGAAGCACTTTTGGCAATTTACTTTTCACTTTTTATACCACAAATTATATATATATGTGTTCACTATATTACAAGGAATATAAAAAAGTATAATACTTTCGTTTTTAGTCCAGACACAAATATAAAATTCTATAAAAAAGACGGAGCACCTTCATCAAAACGGCACGTGGAACGCCGAAAGTTCAGAGTGATTTTTTTTTTCTAAGAAACATTGCCAGGTTATGGTTTAAAATAAAAGAGCATATCTTTGTCTTTGATACTATTATCTATTGCATAGTGTCTTTGGTTTTGTTTAAAACGAAAAAATAGTTTTTTCATAGGTACACATGTTTACATAATTCTGATCAAATTAGATCACTGCTTGGCGGACGTACGGTAGGTATTGTACGATCAAAAGTGCGCATGGCTTGGCTTACAGGTTAAGAAACAAAGCGCAGTTGCGTTGTCACCCCTGAGGACTAAGATGGAATGCATCAATTCCAGTTAAAAAGGGTCTCTGAATCTCTACACTCACCATACGAAAGACAGCAGCATTACGCTGCTATTTTACGCTAGTATTCTATGAGAGCGTGGTCCTTCTCTGATCGTGCAGATCCATTCATGCTATAACCATAATATAGCTGCAGTGTAGCTCTACCACATATAAAACATACTATCAACATAGTAAGTGAAATTCGTGGGTCGCGTCGTAAACTTCAGCGTCTCGTTGCTTAATGACGTCTCCGTGGCGCAGTAGCTTTACAATGAGATGCAGCGCTAAGGACCGCGGGTTCGAATCCCGAATGGAACAAGTATTTCTATGGCCTACAAATAATTGTTCCGGACTAAACTGGATATTTGTCCTTGTGAAATTTTTTTTATAGAGTAGTGTGACAAACGAGCACACAATGCACCTGTTGGTAAGTGATTGCTGTGGCCCATAGACATCTACATTTATCCTAGTTGATAATAACCCCTGGGAAGGAGGTGGTCGCTTCCAAACTGTTTCTAAAGGATATGTTCCGAAATACAACGCAGTGTACTGTCCAATGCAAATGACGTATCATTTGACACTTTATTGTACTAGCGTGCCGCCGCCATATTGTGTCGGATATCCGGCCATAATAAAACAATTTTTAATTGTGTGTTTGCCGAATGAAGCATGCCAGAATTTGTTTCTATTTATTCAAATACAAAAAATTATAGAATAATTGATGGTATATCCATTAGGAGGATCTAATGATTTTTGGAGCACAAAATGACAAAATAATCGTCAACACTTTTCCAAATGGCGCAAAAGTATGACGTCATATACTGTCCAATGTTTTGGAACGAATCACCAGTATAGCGTCGATTTATGACGTCATTTGCATTGGACAGTACACTGCGTTGTATTTCGGAACATACCCAAAATAAATTTTGTAAATATTTTGTGACTCCTGACATTGTAAAATTTATTTATAAAAAGGTTCCGTTGGGTTTTTTGCTGGTTCTTCCCAGGACAAAACTTTTTTTTTTCAAACCAGTGGTAACGTAAAATATTGACTTTCAATAAGAATTACTTTACTTGTAATCTATATTGAATAAAAAATTATTCTATTCTATTCTAGATTAAGAATCAAAATGCAAATGCGTTGTCACCCATGAGGACTAAGATTAAATGCCTCATTTCCATATATTCCATACATTTCCATATATTCCATAGAACTGCTATTTTGCATTGGTAGAATATTTTATGTATGTAAGCTGACCTCACGATACAGGAGAAAATCCTAGTATCGAGGTTACGTTACAAAAAAACTAAAATAAATTATAAATGCAATGCACAATTATTTACAGACAGTTATTAAATCAGATCCTTTTAACCAAGAAGATGCAATTGATAGCGTCGAAACGAAGAATAGAAATAGTAAAAGAAAAACTCAAATAGAAGACTTCAATGAGTCCGACGATGAACCGTTGAAACTTAAGAAAAAAGATACGGAACTAGAAACAGAAAGAGTGCAGCGCAAATCTAAAAAGAGAAAGAAAAAGGAGGAAGGTAAGAGAAGATTTTTAATATGTTTTTTATTTATTTAATAAAACAATACTGTTTACAGTTGTGATGATAAAATTTTCTTAAAATTAAATGATTAAGTACTAAACAGTAAGCCAGAAACATGTGTTCACCTGCAATTCCCCTAGTGTTGCGGATGAGAGTAAACAATAATCTATGCTTTTGCCCCCTTCTTCTATAAAAAACCTGCCCGAAGTCAGGAAGTTGGCGATGTCTCACCCCCGTGCCTCGTCAATGTCAATGAACTTAAAACGTTCAGTGTAAGTAGACCTGCCAGTACTAGTTACTATCCACTAATGCAAGATCAGCATATACTGGATATTAGTTAAAATACTTGGTCACTTTATAATGAGTTATATTTACTAAAGTTATAAATAATTTAATAAGCAGTGGTTTTGCAATCACCACTCCAGCAGATTACAAGAGGGCTGTTACAGATTTAAAGCTAGAACATAAGTAAGTAGAAACATAAAACAGACAAGACCAATTATATCAGAATATCACGGATAGATCTGTTGAAGACATTTGGATTTCAACCTAGAATATCAACACAGCCAGGCCGCAGCTATGTTATGGTTGTAGCACGAATGGGTCGGCTCGACCGGGGAAGGACCACGCTCTCACAGAATACCAGCGTAAAATAGAAGCTTAATGCTGATGTCTTTGATTAAATCCGGAGACGCATTTTCAACGAGCTATCATAGTCCTCAAGGTCGACAACTCATCTGCGTTTTGATTCTACATCGAGGATGAATGTAGATGTATCACAGTATCCACTTACCATCAGATAGACTCTCGTTTGTCACACATATGCTATAAAAAAAGAGTTTATTTTACCTGATGGTGCCTCATTTAGAGGCGAAACAGGTGTGATCTTGTACTTACCTATTAACCTCTGTAATATAGTGGATTTCTGCAATGTAACACCTGATTCTATAAGAGATAAATGATATGGGATACAGGCAGCAGCTTCTTAATAACCACTCAAAGAAACTGCGGTTGCCAACCCGTTTGCTAAGCGTGGCAACTATGGCAAAACCCATTATGAGTCATTCTATGGGGAGGGCTCTGTTCTGCAGAGAACTTCGATTGATGTATGTATGTAAATATTTATGTGTGAATGTGTACATTTTTAAGTGAATATATTTACGTGGTGGATATGTTTTATATTTTTTTTTATAGAATAAGCGTGACAAACGAGCACAGAGTCGACCTGATAGTGAATGCTGTGGCCGATAGAAACAGAAATTTTTTTATCAATGTAGATGATTATAACAATACTTATTGAAAGTCACTTTTTTCATTTACCACTGGTTCGCAAAAAAAAACCTCTGCCCTGGGAAGGACCAGCAAGAAACCCAGCAGGACTATATTTTTTTTCCAAGAATAGCTTACAATCATGTTTACAATTAACAACACAAGACAAATTAGAAATAGCTTGGTAGCTTATGCATAGACATCCACATTTATCTTCAACTAAGCATCAAAATGCAAATGAGTCGTCGCCCCTGAGGACTAAGATGGAATGCCTCGATTGCAGTAAAAAGTTTCTTCGGTTCTCTACACTCACCATACGAAACACAGCAGCATCAAGCTACTATTTCACGCTGGTATTCTGTGAGAGCGTGGTCCTTCCCCGGTCGAACCGACCCATTCGTGCTACAATTACAATATAGCTGTAGCGAGTCGGGTGATAGGTTAAGTCATAATAATTAACAGAAAAATTTCAAAGAAATCTTTGCTATGTATTTTAAAAATTACAGGCATTTATAAAAATCGAAAAAATCTACATCCTCTCACAGTCTTTTAACTCCCGTTGCTACAAATATTAATTCTTTTTTTTAATTTAATTTTATTTTTATAGGATAAAAGTGACAAACGAGGACTGAGTCCACCTGATGGTAGGTAGGTAGACTGTGTGCTTGTTTGTCACACTATCCTAAAAAAATATTATTAGAAAATGCGTGAACATTATGCTTTTGTTAGAATTAAAAAATATCTTACAAAAACGTCTAATATTATTATTAGTGTAAATATTTGACGGCTCCATGGCGCAGTGGCATAGCAATGAGTTGACGCTCTAAGGTCCGCGGGTTCGATACCCGTACGAAACGAGTATTTGTTTGGCCTACAAATAATTGTTCCGGGTCTGGATGTTTGTCCTTGTAAAGTTTATGAATGGAAACTACCCCCACTATACAAAAGAAAATCCAAGTGTAAAGATAATTTTAAAAAAACATACTTTCTGTAGGCATAAAAATCGATCGCCGGAAGCATCCAGCACCAAAGCGCGAGAAGCCAGCCGGTGTGGTGACCAACTCCAGGGTCAGTAAGAAACTTCAGCAGCTGAATGTGGACAGTAGCCAGCTGGAAATGGTCGTGCTGAGCTGGGATGAGGTATGTATCATTGTGCGATCGTAAGAGTCCTTCAGAGTTATTTATAAACTACTCCTATGTATAGAAGTAGAGCCGTGCTGCAGCTATATTACGGTTGTAGCATGAATGAGTCGGCTGGAACGGGAAAACCCACGCTCTCTGCCGTGTTTCGTATGGTGAGTGTTGAGAACCGGAGACCTTTTATACTGTACACGAAGCATTTCACCTTAGTCCTCGGAGGTGACAATGCATCTGCTGATTAAGAATCAAAATGTAATGTTGATGTCTTTAGACAACAGCATCCATTACCATCAGGTGGGCTGTATGTATGCTTGTCATCATTATTCTATAAAAAAAATGTTTCGGCATTTGATGTATTTTTACTGGCAAAAGCCTTATAGCCAGTGCCATAATTAACGTTGAGAAAAAAAAATAAAAAAATCAACGTTGTTATCACATTCCCCAGCTACCATGGAGTATAGTTGAAAATGTGTCCATCTGTAAGCAGTAAATAACAGTTCAAAGACTCTCCACAACAGCGCTCGAGCTACAGGGTATGATAAATCTCCGTAAAGTATACATTGAGAGTAATTTTGAAAAAAAAATTTGAAAGCAATAAAATAATTATTATAAAAATAATTATGGTGAAAGTTTGTGCAATAAAAAAAATTATAAAAATTTCTTTAAAATTTACACTGTAGCTACTATGTAGCTACAGTGGCGCCACTCTTATTACGCTTTCCTACGGACACATTTTTATACAGAGTCTCCTCCTTACCTCTACGCTCCATACCAGCTACGTTGCAGCTATGTCCTTATAATAGAGAAGTTGCATGTTATTTTTTTTAAAGTTAGGTACTAGTTATTAATAAAAATAAAAAGATATTGAATTTTAATTGAATTTCATGCAATTTTACAATTATAAAGTGGTTTTTCTAAAATATAGATTCAAACGTCAGTGATGTCATTATATAGTTTTAGTTACGCCACGGCATGGTGAAATGATAAAACACTCATGTTTACGTTGATAAAATTAAAAAAAAAATTGTCATTGCATAATACGGGTTACGTATGTTTTGTTACGACGCATGCTGATTCGAATATAGAAAATACAAAAGTGTAGCATGACTGCGGTTGGCTCACAGTCTCAACGGATAATAATGACGTCACAACCAATCACAAGTCGTATTATTTTCATTCAAAAAATTAAATATTTTTTATTATTAATTACTAAAAAAAAATGGAACCGTTAATAAAAAATATATATTCAAATATACTTTAAATGAATTATTCTTTAATTTGTATATAAATTTGTGGCAAAAAATTAATGCCACTTTTCTATTTATTTATATAAGTACTTTTTATTTAAAATTTTATTATTATCAATAATTACTAACAATAGGTTATGTAATCATCTAATTATACTAATTATGTTCTATGATCTGTGTAGGTCGAAATAAAGGCATTATTGTTATTAGTACTATTATTGGGGTATTAATAAAGTGTTCTCATCTGGTTGGGCTGAATAAATATATAAAAGAAAATGATAATTATAATATACATTAAATATAGTAACATTTTTTTATAGAATAAGGTGACAAACGAGCACACAGTCCATCTGATTGTAAGTGGTTGCTGCGGCCCATAGACATCTACATCTATCCTCGATTAAAAATCAAAATGCAGATGCGCTGTGAACTAAGATGGGATGCCTCGTTTCCAGTAAAAAGAGTCTTCTGTTATCTACACTAACCACACGAAACACAGCAGCATTAAGCTTCTATTTTACGCTGGTATTCCGTGAGAGCGTGGTCCTGCCCCGGTCGAACTGACCCGTTCGTGCTACAACTATATTACTAATATAATTGCAGCATGGCTTTGCCATGTATGAATTTACGAATGTTTAATTAAAATTTATTAGTATTATGTATTTTAATATTTTTATTTTTTCACGCCTTACGGCCGTTACTAATGCCAATTATAGATGTTCCAAGTACGAGTAAAAAGCATATATGAAAATATTATTAGTGTCTTCTGATATATTGGGCAACACTTCGTTTTCAGCTATTTGTAAAAATTATCTCACGATACGGCACGTATTCAATATGGCGGCTTCTTTAGTTGTATGTATATATTTTCTTTTATATTTACTAGTTTAAGTATTATTATTACTATAAAACTAAGTGTCGTCTTCGAAGGTAGAAGAGGAACGTCAGAGGGCACTCCTGAGTGAGACATTCACGAGGCACGAGTACCGATGCTACGACTGTGCCCTCGGTTTCAACCACCGGTTCAAGTTGGTCAACCACATGAAGAAGCACGACCCGGTGAGTGGATTCTTCTCATTGTCTTTATTTAGAACTGTTAAGATTTGGTAAGCAAACAAATATTTATGGTAGATGATATTTTTAACGTCTGGAAAAAAATAGGGTGTAACATGTGAACGGTGTAGAAGCCTATGGTACTGATATTTTATAAAACATAAAAACAAAAATTTTGAATTAAATAAATAAATTAATTAAAATCTATCGAAAATCAAATTAGGGAATGCAAATTTCGCGAGATTGGGGCACAAGCGCGATCCCGCGAGTTTATGAATAACAATACTTCGAGATCTCGCGAGATTGGCAGTTTTGTGTGTTTTCTTTGCAAATAATCACAATATTTGAATAAATTAGGAAAAAATAATAAAAATTATAAGTATTATAAGATAAACATTTATTTTCACGAATTCTTTCAATAGACTTTTATGCATCAAATATTGTTTGACGTATCTATAATTTTTAGTAAACTTCTAAGTAGTAAACTTTGACGTACGTATCTATCAAATAACATACGAAAGAAACAACCAGTCTTCTCTTCTAATATCAAACAAAAATATTTTAGTAATGAAACAGTTCTTTTATAATAAACATAACAAAGAGAAGTCAAAAAAATGAAACTTATTATCTAAGTTGAGTTGACTATTATTGATTGACTGAGATATTATTATCAATTAAATAAAACTATATCTACTCAGAAGATCCATTAGATATTACAGACTAATTAACAAAATATACCAATTAGGCTATTAGAAGTTACAGATCAATTAACAAAATATACCAATCAAATGAAAGATTTGTTCAGTTCAAATCACAAGCCATTATTACGAATCATTTTGAAAGTAGCTCCTTAACACATTCAGTGCCACCGACTTGTCCAGAGAGTTCACGTAAATCTTATTCCAGTGCCGACGACTCGTCTGGCGAGTTCAGTGTTTTTCACTAATATTTCCAAAATGCATCCGTATTTTCTGCTTAAAATTATAGTTTAGACTAAATATATGCTAAACTAAAGATTTACGTGGTGGGCCGGATGTGGAGACCCCGTTTAAATTTGAAAGGAAACAAACTTTTCTGCAATGCCTTGAACTCGCTAGGCGAGTTCCCTGACATAGATCCTCAACCATTTACATGTTAGACAACGACGTCAACATAGTAGCATGGACACCTTCATACTTGTGAAATGGAACTAATATACAACAAACTAGTTTCATTAGAATAAAAAACAAGCTTTAGAAATACAAAGTTATCGTAATATTTGAGATCACATATCTAGTAGCCATATTATAAATCTTGTATCTTTGTAATAGGGTTGAAAATGAATTAAAAAAAAGTGTCGGCATTGATGAAACGGCCGACAAAAAAACACTGGCGCGCCGTTGTGTTTGAAGAACAAAAGCACTGATAACATTGTTTTTTACAAAGCTCTCATTGGCTAATGTTAAATCGCACTCCAAGAATGCACTTGCAACTAAATATTTCGTCCATTGTATTCCTATTTGTGACGTCATTGGCTACTCCAGTAAACTTCTGTAAACTTTGTTTTCAATGTGATTGCTCTGTACGACCCTCTCGTCATCGCATGCGTTTATTTGTTCTCTACCTTTGTGACTGGCTTACGTTTACTGGACTCCCGTGTTTTGATTACCTTTGATTACCTACCTGGACTTTGAATGTTCTAGTCTACCTTGGCCTGGTCTGGAAATGGTTATGGTCAAAAGTTTCCACAGCTTGAATTTTGAAAATCAGTGAGTACTCATTTTTGGTTTATTTATTAAATGGAAAGTTTAGTTTATCAGAGTGTTACTCAATCTAAATCTTTTCTTGATTTAAACTAATACAATATAATATTTTGTAGACTTAACATTTTGTCTTGCCAAAATAAGTTATCATTTAATTTTAATTCGGTAGATTTTAAACGTTTTAAAAAACGTTTTTTTTTTTAATTGTTATCAATTAAATTCGTCGTATTCACAATAAAAATAATACGTTTTAATCTGACATATTCTTAAAACTGAAAGCCCGTATTAAATTATTTCAGGGTAAAATTGTCTATTCACAAGTATTAGAAATTCAAAAATATAACCTTAACAATAACCACAATTTAAAAAGTTGACAACCACTGCTTAAATTACGAAACAAAATTACCTTTTATTTTATCCAAAGAGTTTTTTGCCATTTTTACAAGCCGAATAGTCCTGAAACACTTTTTAATTGCGTAAACACGTTAAGTACACTGTGACGGCCACAAAAATTACAAAACATAGAATTTACCCTTACGTAGTGCCAGTGAACTCGCGTGGCGAGTCGATTCAATTTATATTGCAGTGCCGGCGACTCGCCTGGCGAGTCAACCGTAAAATGTAGGCGGAATCCGAGAAAACATCATGAAAATCGTAGCGGTGATGAATGTGCTAAGAAGCACATAATGTCCAAAGAATCGTCTGCTAAACGGTTTCTTATTTTGTTGGCCAGATGATCGACAGATCGCAACTCCGTCCGTGTCAGTCCGCGCTTCGAATAAGACGTTTTTATGCTCGAGTGTAATCTCGTTAAACTCGCGAGATCTCGCCCTTTTTCGTCCAAGATCAATCTCGATAAAAAAGGCCGAGATCGCGCGAGAACAAGATTGCATTCCCTAATTCAAATCATATCCACCCTAGCCTGGAACCCTGCGAAGTGACAAGGTCAAAGATGCCTACAAATTTATTGTTTTATTGCCGTTCGTAAAGCAGTTCCTTTCATATTGTAAAATTTATTTAAAAAAAAGTCCTGCTGTGTTTCTTGCTTGTTCTTCCCAGGACAGAGGTTTTTCCGAATCTGTAGTAAAGTAAAAAATGACTTTCAATAAAAATTACAAACATGTGATTTATAAAGTTAAAGTTACAGCCTATATTACATCCCACTGCTGGGCACAGGCCTTCTCTCATTTCTGAAAGAGTTTTAGGGCAAGGAATAGTCCGCCGCGCTGCTCCAATGCGTGTTGGCAAACTTCACATGTGTTTGAAATATTTTTTCGTATTCCTCAGACATGCAGGTTTCCCCGCGATGTTTACCTTCACCGCCGAGCACGTGGTAAATCAGCAACAACCATCTGAGCTACCACGTATCTGATATTTAATAGTTAGTAATGCTTAATTATGTGCACGAACATATAGATGTTTTATCACAATAGTGAACTATTAAATTGCAGGTGTTTTGGGGTGGAAGGGATAAGCGTTGAATATCAAAAGTAAAGTACATTGTTTTGACTTTGTTAATCGTCCACTGAGAAACGAGATTAAACCCTATTTGAGCATATTTGATAACCTCTCAATTGTCGCCCGAGAAAAAGAGATATAATATGACAAAATACCATAATTTCAATGCAAGGAAAAAGCCAAAAAGGATATTTACGCGAACACTACACATTCATTAAAACAATTTTTACGGATTTTATCGCGATTAATTTTAATTATTTTTATTTTTAATTCCCGACGTTTCGGGTGTTTTCTAGCACCCATTGTCACGGGGGACTGAGGTGACTGACGTCCCGACGTCATTGTTAAACCCGGAGTACCTTCAGCTTTTTTAATTATTATTTATGGTCCGATCTATGCAAAATGAACTATGTTTTAAGGTCTTGCAATGGTATGCTGGGGTTTAGGTTTAAAGAGGTCCAACTGTTTATCTCTAACACCTAAAGCTTCTAGCTTGTTTGGGAGTATGGGGATAGAGACCGTGTCAAATGCTTTGGCTAAGTCAAGAAATACACCAATTCGTTTCCTACCGACGTCTTGGTTTGCCACTACGTAATTAGATCTAGTGCCGCGTCCTTTGTATATTTATTTTTACGGAATCCATATTGTTGTTGAGATAAAAGATTCAAGATCAATCATCATCATCATCATCATCATTACAGCCCTTCACAAGTCCACTGCTGAACATAGGCCTTCCCCAAGGTATGCCACAAAGCACGGTCCTGAGCCACCTGCATCCACCGACTTCCTGCATGTCTTAACAGGTCGTCACTCCATCTAGTGGGCGGTCGCCCTACAACTTAGTTTCAGGTTTTGAAGTATACCTGACGAGAAGATGCGTCGTAATTTCCCGAACGCTGCCCAGCCGAGTTGAATCCGTCGATTGACATCTCGGTCGAAGTTGGACTTACCTAGTCAGACTATTTGTCCCAGGTAAACGTACTCGTCAACAACTTCGAGCTTAGTGCTCCCAACAACTACCGGCATAGGTGTGACATGGACATTAAACATAAATACAGACATATCCGTTAGGAGGCACTATCGAGGTCATTGAGCATAGTGCTTAAGTCCTCCAGCGATTCTGCCATAAGGACTATATCGTCGCCAAATCGAAGGTGAGTGATGTACTCGCCATTGATGTTAATACCGTATCCTTTCCAGTCCAGTAGCTTGAAAACGTCTTCCAATACAGCGGTGAAGAGTTTCGGGGGAAATAACGTCACCCTGTCTTACACTTCTCTGTAGTTGGATAGGTTTCGTACTCGGATAGCCATCGTAGCCCTACTGTACAAACACTTCAGCACATCGATATACCGACAGTCAACTTGGCATCGCTGAAGAGACTGTAGCACCGCCTAAATTTCGAGGGGATCAAAGGCTTTTTCATAGTCCACATATGCCAGGCAAAGTGGCAGATTGTACTTTTCAGGCTTCTGTACAATTTGCCGAAGGGTATGTATGTGGTCTATGGTACTAAAGTCTTTTCGGAAACCGGCTTGTTCGGGAGGCTGGTCGTCGAGTCTGCGTGCGAGACGATTCATAATGACTCGAAAACAGCACGTAGACGTGTCTCAGAAGGGATATCGGTCTATAGTTCTTCAAGAGGGCGTTGTCACCTTTCTTGAAGAACAAGACCACCGCACTTCTGCTCCACGCCTCCGGAGTAGTGCCACCATAGAGGACGGACTTAAAGAGCCTCTGAAGGACTTTAAGTACCGGTTTTCCACCCGCTTTCAGAAGCTCCGCTGTAATTCCATCCTCGCCCGGGGACTTGCCGTTTTTAAGGTGCTGGAGAGCCATTTTAATCTCGCTCAGACTGACGTCCGGGATATCATCGGAATAGTGTCGGATAAGACTTGCTCTTGGATCGTTACTCACACTTGCGTGTGGCTCCAACGATGATGTGTACAGCTGCCCATAGAACCTCTCAATCTCAACCAGAATCTCAGGTGTCCCGGAAACGATGCTGCCACACTCAGTCTTCAGCTTTGACAGTTGGCTCTTACTGGCAGACAGATATCTAGCAAAGACTTTGGAACCCTGGTTCCGCTCGATCGCTTCTTCAATACGATCAGTATTAAAGTTGCGCATGTCTCGCCGCATGCATTTGGAGATCTGTCTGTTCAGTTGCCTGTATGCTGTAAAATCTGTTGAAGACTGAAGTTTCATGTCCCGTCTAACAGCAACGAGATTATGAGTGTGATCGGAGAGTTTTTGTGTTCTTCTGTGGCGGGTCTTGCAGAACTTAGCTCCGACCGCATGGACAGTTTCCACGAGCTTGTCATTCATATCGTCCACTGCATTGCAATCTTCTAGGCACTGAAAGCGGTTACGTAACTCGAGCTGAAATGTTTCAGGATTCTGGATTAGAGCACGAGGGGGGACGGAGCGTTGACTTCATTAGACGAGACCTCTCCAACTTAACGTTTAGGTTCAGTGTGCCTCTAACCATTCGGTGATCGCTGTCAGTTTTCACCCTTGCGATCACTGAGACATCACTGAACAGTTGGCGTCTGGTCGTCATAATGAAGTCAATCTCATTTTTTTGTCGAACCGTCGGGGCTCGACCAGGTCCACTTCCTGTGAGGCCGCTTCTGGAAAAAAGAGTTCATCATAAAGAGCTAAGCTCTTTCTCCATCAAGTCGGCCAGCTGCTGGCCCCTATGGTTCCGTTGCCCTACTCCAAATTTCCCTAACTTCACTCACCCTTCTCTTGTGCCTAGTTTTGCGTTAAAGTCTCCCATCAACACCGTGTAGTGGGTTTTGGAGGAATGCATGGCTCTGGAAATATCCTCATACATTTCCTCCACCTCCTTATCGGGATGTGCCGAGGTTGGTGCGTAAACCTGAATGACCTTCAGCGAATACCGTTTGGTGATTCTGAGTATCAGGTACGCGACCCTTGTCGACACACTCCCAATCTTTACAACGTTGTTGACGAGAGACTTTGGACGATAAATCCGACACCTACTTGGGACAGATGGTCGCCCTCCCGGTGATAGAACAAGTTGCCGGACTCGAGGATTTCCATGTACCAGAGAGGAAGACCTCTCTTCGGAGCTCGGATAATCCAATATGCCAGCGCAACTTGTCTGCCTCTTCTTCCAGCTCCAGTATCTTCTCGTCAGTCCTCAGGGTGCGTGCGTTATATGTTGCCAGGTCGAGTCGTCGTAGGTGGCAACCGAACCTCCACCGAAGATTCTTAGCACCCCCTGCCCAGCCGTTACTATGGTCGCCACCGTAGCCAGGAATAGCGGGGCCGCCGGGGACTGGGGGCCGTTTGTTTGCGTCGTTATTCATGGGGGGATATTTGCCATAGTTGCCACGCTTGGCGAGCGGGTTGGCAACCGCAGTTTTTTATTATATTATTGTTGTTATCAGGAAGACGCTGCTGCCCATCTCCTGCCTGTCTCTCTCTGTCGCCTCTTACGACTCCCACGGGAAGATATGGGGTAGTGGATATTCTCAACCGCCACTACACGGTATACGGTTCTTTTCAAAGTAGTGTTTAATTGAGCTGCTATTTTTGCTATTTCACTCTGGTATTCTGTGAGAACGTGGTCCCACCCCGGTCGAAAAAAGTCACTCGTGCTACAACCATAAAGTACATGCAATGTGGATATACCTTTATAGTCTTCGTCATTTTTATTATAATTAAACCAAAGAAATATCTAAATCTATTTTATTTTTATTGTCTGTTAGGAGTCCGGTCCAGAAGTGTGCAACATCTGTAAAGTGCGTTGTAGAGACGCCCATGCGCTTTGCGCACACAGAAGAAGGCATCGAGTTAGGTGAGTTTTAGAATTATTTCTCCGATTCTTTCGGACGTTATATAAAACACTTACTGCCTCGCCGGACGTTGTTCTGCCCTACCCGGTAGATGGCGCGAGTTTCACTTCGAATTCACTCCGGACTTTTTTAAGATGAATATATGTTTGTTTACCTTTTACATGGTAGAGCCAGGCTGCAGCTATATTATGGTTGTAGCACGAATGGGTCGGCTCGACCGGGGAAGGAGCACGCTCTCACAGAATACCAGCGTAACATAGCAACTTAATAATGCTGTGTTTCGTATGGTGAGTGTAGAGAACCGGAGACCCTTTTTACTGTAAATGAGGCATTCCACCTAAGTCCTCACGGGTGACAACGCATCTGCATTTTGATTTGTAATCGAGGATAGATGTAGATGTCTATGGGTCACAGCAAGCACTCGCCATGAGGTGGACTGTGTGCTCGTTTGTCACCCTATCCTATAAAAAAACCTGTCCCAGAAGTAGGGTAATGCTTTTCGAGTGTTTGTAGTTAGATTTGTCTTACTTGTGGAATTGACATGGGGAATATTTTTTTCTTTTAAGTAAACTTTCTTACGCAACCGGTTTTTTTAAATTACTGTTTTCGCTATTGTGTTTGTTAAGTAGACCAAAACCGTCATCTCCAGGTACAAATTTTGTGATTTTTTGCACTAAAATAACATAATACTGTGTGAATGTATCGTAGCAACATATCGTAAATTAATAGCATGCTGTGATTACATTTAGGAGATTGTACATTTAAAAGTAAGATTACCGTAAATTTTATTTAAAGATATTAATAATTTATCAATTTTTGATAATCCTACTAAATAAAAAAAATTGAGTCTATTTGGTCCATATATATATATATATATATATATATATATATATATATAGATTTAAATAAAACTAGTTTTTACTGATTTTATCGCGTATATTAATATATGTATTTTTAAATACCCGACGTTTCGAGCACTTTACAGCAGCCACGGTCACGGGTTCACACTGAGATGTTCAACGTCCAGATGTCATAGTCAACCGCGGTTACCACAGGTTAAAATTTTAAATTTTGTTCCGATCAACGCAGTATGAACTATCACTATCTTTAAGTCTTGCAGTTGTATGCTTGGGTTGGGATTTAATTTTGTTTATTATAGGATCCCAAGCAGATGGTAGCACCCAGCCATCTTCTCTATTGAAATTAGGATGTTTTTTGATTTCAATAGCCTCGCGAATCACCCTTGGAAGGAATCGGTGTTCTTTAGCGAGGATTTGTGGTCTAGCAAATCTGATTTAGTGACGAGGCGATCCTGTGTTCACAGTCGAGAAGAACCACGTTTTTACAGAATCATCATCATCATCATTACAGCCCTTCACAAGTCCACTACTGAACATAGGCCTCCCCCAAGGAATACCACAAAGCACGGTCCTGAGCCACCTGCATCCATCGAATTCCTGCATGTCTTACCAGATCGTCATTCCATCTAGTGGGGGGTCGCCCTACACTTCGCCTGCCAATACGAGGCTGCCACTCGAGAATATTTTTACCCCATCGGTTAGCGGTTCTTAGAGCTATATGGCCGGCCCATTGCCACATCAGTTTACTAATCGGTTGGGCTGTCTATCATTTAGGTTCTATTGCAGTTATCCACATTTCTAAGTTTATCACGCAGAGAAACCACGAGCATAGCCAGCACATAGACCTCTCCATAGCTCGCTGAGCGACCTTAATCGTCCTTATACCGCCAGCAGTGAAGGACCGCGTCTCAGTTCCATAAGTCATCATTGGCTACACGCACTGGTTGTTGCCGTGTATTAGCGGTTGAGAATATCCACTACCCCATATCGTCCCGTGGGTGTCGTAAGAGGCGACAGAGGGAGACAGGCAGGAGATGGGCAGCAGCATCTTCCTAATAACAACAACTGTACGTAACAAAAAACTGCGGTTGCCAACCCGCTGGCCAAGCGTTGCATCTATGGCAATATACCCCCCCATGAAGAATTACACAAATAGACGGCCCCCAGTCCCCGGCGGACCCGTTATTCCTGGCTACGGTGGCGACCATGGTAACGGCGGGGCAGGGGGTGCTAAGAATCTCCGGTGGAGGTTCGGTTGCCACCTACGACGACTCGATATTGGCAACATTTAACGCACGCACCCTGAGGATTGACGAGAAGATCCTGGAGATGGAAGAAGAGATAGACAAGTTGCGCTGGAATATTATAGGGTTATCCGAGGTCCGAAGAGAGGGTAAGGACACGGTGATGCTCGAATCCGGCAACTTGTTCTATCACCGGGAGGGCGACCAGCTGTCCCAAGGAGGTGTTGGATTTATTGTCCACAAGTCTCTCGTTAACAACGTTGTAAAGATTGGGAGTGTATCGACGAGGGTTGCATACCTTATACTCTTAATAACCAAACGGTATTCGCTGAAGGTCATACAGGCTCACGCGCCAACGTCGAAACATCCCAAAATTTCTAGAGCCATGCATTCCTCCAAAACTCACTATACGGTGTTAATGGGAGACTTCCAACGCAAAACTGGGCACAAGAAAGAACGGTGAGCTGAATGTAGGGAAATTTGGGATAGGGCAACGGAACCCAAGGGGCTAGCAGCTGGCCGACTTCATAGAGAAAGAGGGACTTTTTATGATGAACTCTTTCTTCCAGAAGCGGCCCCACAGAAAGTGGACCTGGTCGAGCCCCGACGATTCGACAAAAAACGAGATTGACTTCATTATGACGACCAGACGCCAACTGTTCAGTGATGTCTCAGTGATCGCAAGGTTGAAAACTGGCAGCGATCACCTAATGGTTAGTTCAAGTACAGGTGTTCCACCCGCTTTCAGAAGCTCCGCTGTAATTCCATCCTCACCTGGGGCCCTGCCGTTTTTAAGGTGCTGGAGAGCCATTCTAATCTCGCTTAGACTGACGTCCGGGATATCATCGGAATAGTGTCGGATAAGACTTGATCTTGGATCGTTACTCAAAAGTGCGTATGGCTCCAAAGATAACTTGTACAGCTGCTCATAGAACCTCTCAATCTCTCTCGAAATCTCAGGTGCCCCGGAAACGATGCGGCCACACTTCGTCTTCAGCTTCGACAGTTGGCTCTTTCAGACAGATCTCTGGCAAAGACTTTGGTGCCCTGGTTCCGCTCAATCGCTTCTACTATACAAGCTGTATTGAAGTTGCGTATTTATTTGGAGATCTGTCTGTTTAATTGCCTGTATGCTGTCAAATCTGTATGATCGGAGAGATTTTGTGTTCTTCTGCCGCGGGTCTTGCAGAAGCTAGCTCCGACCACATGGACAATTTCCGCGAGCTTGTCATTCATATCGTCCACTGTATTGCCTCTTCTTCTTCTATCTGCTGTCTTCTAGGTATTGAAAACTGTTTTGTAATTCGAGCTGAAAGTTTTCGGGATCCTGGATTAGCGCATGAGGGGGGATTAAGCGTTGACTTCATTAGACGAGACCTCTCCAACTTAACGTTTAGGTTCAGTGTGCCTCTAATCATTCGGTGATCGTTTCGTTTTCACCCTCGCGATCACTGAGACATCACTGAACATTTGGCGTCTGGTTGTCGTAATGGAGTCAATTTAATTTTTTGTCCAACGGTCGGGGCTCGACCAGATCTACTTCCTGTGGGGCCGCTTCTGGAAGAAAGAGTTTATTATAAAGAGTATCTGTTTCTCCATGAAGTCGACCAGCTGCTGGCCCCTTGGGTTTTGTTGCCCTATTCCAAATTTCCCTACCTTTCGCTCAAACTCACCGCTTTCTCTTGTGCCTAATTTTGTGTTGAAGTTCCCAGCAACACCGTATAGTGGGTTTTGCATGGCTCTAAATATATCCCCATACATTTCCTTCACCTCCCTGTGGATGTGCTGAGGTTGATATGTAAGCCTGTGTGGCCTTTAGCGAATACCGTTTGGTGATTCTGAGTATCAGGTACGCAACCTTCGTCGACACACTTCCAATCGTTACAACGTTGTTGACGAGAGACTTGTCGACGATAAATCCGACATCTCCTTGAGGTGATAGAACAAGTTGCCGGATTCGAGGATTACCGTGTGTTCCCCTTTCTTAAGACCTCTGATAATGCTATAATATGCCAGCGCAACTTCTCTACCTCTTCTTCCAGTTTCATGATCTTCTCGTCAGTCCTCAGGGTGCGTGCGTTATAGGTAGCCAGGTCAAGTTGTCTTAGGTGGCAATCGAACCTCCTTTCTTAGCACCCCCTGCCGCGCCGTTACCATGATGCCACCCTAGTCAGGAATAGCGGGGCTGCCGGGGACTGGAGGCTGTTTGTTTGTGTCGTTGGTCATGGGGGGATGTTTGCCATAGTTGCCACGCTTGGCGAGCGGTTTCGCAACCGCAGTTTTTATTGTATAATTTCTGTTATCGGGAAGATGCTGCTGCCCATCTCCTACCTATCTTCTTCTGTTGCCTCTCATCAGCCGCCACTACACGGCTTACAAAATATAAGTGTGAAAAGGCAGCTTAATTTTGTTGTGTTTTGTATGGTGAGTATAGAGAACCGGATACCTTTTTTACTGGATACGAGGTATTCCACCTTAACCCTGAGGGGTAATAACGCATCTGCATTTTGATTCTTGATCGAGGAGAGAGAGCAGATGTCTAAAGGCCACAGCATTTACTTACTATCAGGGGGCTGTGTGCTCGTTTGTCGTTCTCATTCTATAAAGAAAAGATGGATTGATTGAATGATTGGTATTATCCGTTCCCTGGTTTCGGTCGGCAGGTGGCGCTGCGTGCAGTGCGGCGGCGCGTGGTCGCGCGCGGGCGTGGGCGCTGACCACGTGGCGCGGGCTCACGGCGCGCCCGCGCCCACGCACCGCTGCTCCGTGTGCGGCCACCGCGCGCCGTCAGTACCCAGCCCACTGCACGCTTACACGACACAACACACACACACACACACACACACACACACACACACACACACACACTGCACACTGCGCATACACACACTCACTGCACACTGCACACACTCACTGCACACTGCACACACTCACTGCACACTACACGCTACACGCACTGCACACTACACGCACACACACACACACACACACACACACACACACACACACTCACACAAACCGCATGTCCGCTTGCACACACTGCATGTACAGTAACACTTACCGCATGTACAGGCATACTAACCGTATTTATGCTCACACTTACCACATATACTCTCACACTAAGGGGCCACACTTAATATAATTACGTAACGATGAATTTTGCGATGTTTGACTTGTTTGAGATTTCGTGAACCCCCTCCACCTCCCTCTTCTTATGTAAGATTCTATCTCTTTGTTTAGAATAATAAATTGTTGTGAGAAAAGGAATAGTTACACTAAAATTTACAGTTTTACGTAAATAATAGTTTTTTATTTTTAGTTTATAACAGATAATTTAGGTTATACTCCTCTATTACAATCATATGTAGATTACCATTATAATATTCTTAGAGAACTAGTTAAGATAGTATCTAGTCTTTGAAATATCGCTAATATAATTAAAATTTTATACTGTCGGGGTCACCTCGTTTTTGGCTCTCAAAAATCGAAAAATCATCCGATTTCGATGTTTTTTTTAAATCTTCATTATTACGGCGGGTTTATGAAAAAAATTACAAGAATATAAAAATGATAATTTGTTTTTATTGGTTTTAAGGCTTTAAATGTTCATGAAAATGCACTATGTATAATTGTTAACTTTTATCAAATAATTAAGTGAAGTTGTTATATTTTTTTTCATAATCTAGACAAAAAACATTTTAAATAAAAAAAAATTGTTTATTAATTTTTTGTTTTAGTTTTTATTGAGTGTGAGATCGAGCGATGCGAGCTCGGGACTTAGGGCATCACGACTCTGACGGGTTAGGTTTAACGGTGATGGAGGGGTAGAGTGAGCGAGCGAAGCAAGCGAATAGACCCTGCCATCTCTTTCGTGGTTATTTTTTTTATAAATCACTCAGAAGGCGGGGCTCCTAGTCGACCGGGCTTCCCTCGACGCGCTACGGGAGAAAGTTGGGGAGGGAAGCAACACGCCACTCTATTCTATATACTCGTATATATTCGCTCGCTTTGCCTGCTCACTCGACCCCGCCATCTCGATCCGCCAAGTTCCGAGCTCGCTTCACTAAAAAATTAATAAATAACGTTATGTTTTTTTTTTTCAAAAATTGTTTTTTAATTTTTTTAAATGTGCATTATTTAGTTTAAGATATAGCAATCACTGTCAAAGATTGTGTATTTTTTTATTTTCTTACAAGATTTTTTCGAGGATGATCTAAGTTATTGATTTATTTTTGAATATGAATAGTTAATTCTTTTCATTTTGGTATTTTCCGTATAAACGAAGATTTCAAAAAAAAATCGTATGATTTTTCGATTTTCTAGAGCATTTATTACATTACATACATACATTTAAAGTCTAAAACTTAAAGTGAAATAAAAAAATAATAAACAAACATTTTTCAATGCTTTTTTTAAATGTTTGTTAGTTTGTGTAGATTAACAATAAAAATATACAAACTTCGTTTAACGCTTTGCAAAAAAGTTATGAACGATTATATTCGAAGAAGTGCGTTTATGATCACATTTAGTCATAAAACTGTATGAAATCGTGAGGTGAGCTATTTTCCATATTTATTTCCATAAATCCGCCGTAAAGACGAAGATTTTAAAAATAATTTCATCGAAATCGGATGATATTTCGATTTTCGAAAGCCAAAATACGAGGTGACCACGATAGTATAAAATTACCAAAGTGAGTTTTTAAATAATCTTAAAGTGAGCAAACATAAGTCAGTTTAAATTTACAAACTTTTTTCGGTTCGGTTTTAAATTAAGTTTTAAGAAAACGAGTAAGACAGTAAAAGCTAAATCAATTCAAATCTACATCGTCTTCTGGATTGAATAGGTGAGCAAGTCATGTTGTCCAATGGGTAACAGTTAGTAACTTGGTAACAATGGGTACAGATGCAGCGGTAGATGCACCTTCATTTGACACGTCTATTGGCGCATCTTCCTCTGGCTACTCTGCATCTTCGACGCCGGCAGGAGGATGGACTGCACGGCACAGCACACTTGTCGTGCTTCGCAATTTTTGAAATAAAATTTTAATCATTCAATGCTATTGTTGCTTGAGAATAAAAGAATCCTTTCATCTATTCCAAATAATTAAAATAACATTAATACGCGGTAATGTACTATAATTATTATTTATAACATTTAAAATGAATAAAAGTAAACGCATTTCAAATTTTAATAAACAATACAAATTTGTAAAATGAGATATAAATCGGAGTGTAATTTGCAGATGAAGAAAACCATTCGACATCGGAAATCGAACTAAATTTCTAATACTAAATAACAACTTTATAAAATATTATATAAGAATAGGTTTTACCCCCCTCCCTCTCGGGGCCCTTACGTAATTAATGAATGGCTCCTAACCGCATGTACAGGCATACTGCATGTTCACTCACACTTACCGCATGTTCACTTGTACACACTTCATGTTCAGTTATACTTACCGCATGTACAGGCTTACTTACCGCATATTGATTCACACTTACCGCAAGTACAGGCAAGCATATTTACCGCATGTTCACTCAGACTTACCGCATGTACAGTTCCACTAACCACATGTACAGACATACTTATTGCATGTTTACTCACACTTACCTTACCGCATGTACATGCTTACTTACCGCATGTACATGCTTACTTACCGCATGTACGGGCTTACATACCGCTTGTACACTCATACTTACCGCATGTACACTGATACTATCCGCATGTACAGACATAATAACCGCATGTACAGACATACTTACCCCATATTCACTCACACTTACCGCAAGTACAGGCAAGCATATTTACCCCATATTCACTCACACTTACCGCGTGGTCACTTACACTTACCGCATGTTCACTCACACTTACCGCATGTTCACTTACACTTACCGCATGTTCACTCACACTTGCCGCATGTTCACTCACACAAACCGCATGTAAAGACATACTTACCGCATGTAAACTCATACTAGTCCCATGTACAGACATACTTGCCGCATGTAAACTCGCACTTACCGCATGTACAGTTTCACTAACCACATGTACAGGCATACTTATCCACACTCCCTTCTCACCCCGCTTTCACTCCACAAACTGCATGTACAGACATACTACGCATGTAAACTCATACTAGACCCATGTACAGACATACTTGCCGCATGTTCACTCACACTTACCGCATGTTCACTCACACTTACCGCATGTTCACTCACACTTACCGCATTTTCACTCACACAAACCGCATATACAGAGTACAGACATACTTACCGCATTTACACCCACACTTACCGCATGTACAGTTACACTAACCACATGTACAGACATACTTACCGCATATAAACTCACACTTACCGCATGTTCACTCACACTTACCGCATGTTCACTCACACTTACCGCATGTTCACTTACAGTTACCGCATGTTCACTCACACTTACCGCATGTACAGGCTTACTTACCGCATGTACATGCTTGCTTACCGCATGTACGGGCTTACATACCGTTTGTATACTCATACTTACCGCATGTACACTGATACTATCCGCATGTACACTGATACTATCCGCATGTACAGACATACTAACCGCATGTACAGACATACTTACCGCATGTTCACTCACACTTACCGTAAGTACAGGCAGGCATATTTACCGCATGTTCACTCAGACTTACCGCATGTACAGTTACACTAACCGCATGTACAGACATACTTACCGCATGTTCACTCACACTTACCGCATGTACATGCTTACTTACCGCATGTACGGGCTTACATACCGCTTGTACACTCATACTTACCGCATGTACACTGATACTATCCGCATGTACAGGTATACTAACCGCATGTACAGGCATACTTACCCCATATTCACTCATACTTACCGCAAGTACAGGCAAACATATTTACCCCACGTTCACTCAGACTTACCGCATGTACAGTTACACTAACCACATGTACAGACATACTTACCCCATGTTCACTCACACTTACCGCATGTTCACTTACACTTACCGCATGTTCGTTCACAGTTACCGCATGTTCACTCACCCTCTCCGCATGTTCACTCACACTTGCCGCATGTTCACTCACACAAACTGCATGTACAGACATACTTACCGCATGTAAACTCATACTAGTCCCATGTACAGACATACTTGCCGCATGTTCACTCACACTTACCGCATGTTCACTCACACTTACCGCATTTTCACTCACACAAACCGCATATACAAAGTACAGACATACTTACCGCATTTACACCCACACTTACCGCATGTTCACTGACACTTACCGCATGTTCACTCACACTTACCGCATGTTCACTCACACTTATCGCGTGTTCACTAACATCGCATGTTCACTTACAGTTACCGCATGTTCACTCACACTTACCGCATGTACAGGCTTACTTACCGCTGTACATGCTTGCTACCGATTATTGTACACTTATACTTACCGCATGTACACTGATACTATCCGCATGTACAAGCATACTAACCGCAAGTACAGACATACTTAACGCATATTGACTCACATTTACCGTAAGTACAGGCAAGCATATTTACCGCATGTTCACTCAGACTTACCGCATGTACAGTTACACTAATCACATGTACGGACATACTTACCGCATGTTCACTCATACTTACCGCATGTACGGGCTTACATACCGCTTGTACACTCATACTTACCGCATGTACACTGATACTATCCGCATGTACAGACATACTAACCGCATGTACAGGCATACTTACCGCATGTACAAGCATACTTACCGCATC